TCCGCCGAATAAAGATTGTCACAGTAGAAACACTATCCCCTCGCCCGGCGATCTGCCATCTCAGCCCTAGACAAGCGCTTAATAGGGGCTGCCACCACGCTGCTTCCCACACTGGATGCCGATCTGGAAACGTTGCTCATATGTGACTTCTGGTTTCGGCTGGCTGCAGAAGATGGGGTCATTCCAAGTGTTTTCGAGGATGCCCATGTTGACGGAGGCTGCCCCATACTGAAAGTTCTGCGGCTGAGTTGCAGCTTGCATTCAAAAGCGCGAGCCAAATTCATAGTCATAACCAGGTTGGGGGATTTTGCATCTGCACATCCACCCTCAAGGTTTCTACTAACCCTGTAGTGAACATCTCAACCTGCTGGTCTGGTCGTACCGATGATGCTCTTGCAAGGAGGGTCTGAAACTGACGCTAGTATTCAGCCATCGTTCCCGTCTGTTTGAGGTTAATTAGTTCGCCTAATGGGTTGCTTGTTAATGGGGGCCCAAATCTGAGAAGGCAGTAGGATTTGAATTGGGTCCAACTGAGCCCAGGTTCCTCCTGCTCCAATCTATAAAACCAAAGTTGCACCTCCCCCGTCATGTGGAATGCGGCTAAGCTTACCTTGTCTATGTCCTCTGTCCATTGGTTGCGGAAGAACTGCTCACACCTGTACAGCCATCCCAACGGATCTCCAATGCTGTTATAGGAAGGGAACTCCAGCCTGCTGTATTTGGGAACGATCGTGGCTCCCTGGGTAACTGCCGCTCGCTGGATGATTCTATCGTGTCTGGTCAGTGGTCGTTTGTGGTTGCAGCCCCTTCTGGATTCTTCTCCTTGCTAGAAAAATAGAACTCCATCAAGCGCCTTAATTCTCAGACGTCTTCCTTGATCTCGCGCACCTCCGTGCTGTTTTCCACGAGCTTGTGCTCCAGTTCATGAACCCTAGTCGTCAACTACTCAAGGTCACCCATGATGCCTTGCTCTGATACCAAATTGTTAAGGGCCCGCGAATAGGATCTCATCACAGGTCGGTCAACGGGGAAAACCTCTTGTTTCCCCTTGTTCCTCCCTTTTATTGAGGAACCTATCTTGGCGCCTTAATGGTGATTTGTTCAAGAGATCACCAACTCTCCTCTACTCTGTCTTGACTGAGAATTTCGATGCCTTTATTGAATATCATTAGCTCCTTTAAATAGGAGATTACAAGAAGATAAGAATCCTACTTTTAGGAAGACTCCCTACTGATCTATACTACTGAATTTAGATAAGAACACTGAACAGATAAGACTCCCTACTAATCCATACTACTGAAAACAGATAAGATAGAACTGTATCTAGTTAGATAAGATGAGAACACCGAATTAGATAAGATGAGAACACCCTTTACTGCTGTTGTCGGCGGCGATACTGCTTCCCAATAAAAGCGTCCATAACAGCTGATGTAACTTAGTGAATTTTTAATAAGGTTAATAACACCTAAAGCAATAAAATCCCAAACACTCAAGGATGTCCTACCAATGTTCCCTACCATTGAAAACCTAGAAATAAATGAAGACATACCCAGAGAACTACCCATAGTTGCATTCATAGAAGAAGTGAAATAGAGCCTATTTTTCAAGGGAGCCACAACCACAAAAGTAGTAGGAGTAGTGCTACAATGCTTAAACAATGTGGAAATAGCTAGAGATTTCAAACTTCAATTTCTAGGATCATACAATGCCACAGAATATGAGGCAATGATACTAAGACTCCTACTAGCTCGAGAGATGGGAACCAAGTAGCAGTATATGGAGACTCTTTCTTAATGATTCGGTAGTCCAATAAAGATATGGTGATGAAAAGATCACACTCCTACCTTATGGGATTCTAATAAACTAACTCTGCTAGGACTTAACCGTCACCTTCCAGCACATAAGTATAGCAAAGAATAGGTTCAGAGACTCACTAGCAATGCTAGGCTTACATACACAGTCTGAAGGGATAAAAGAAATAGTGATAGTCCACAACAGAGTGCAATCTACCCCAGAAAAGTTAGCTCATTTTGTGGAACATCCAAAGAACATAACCAAAGAGGATTGAAGACACAGAGTAGTGCAAAAATTGCAAAATCCCACAACTTTAATAGAAGACAACCACTTTCTCACCAAGTTTCAAATTCTAGGTAATGTATTGTACTACAAGATGGCAAATGGAGTACTAGAAAGATGTTTGGGTCTCAAAGAAAGTCAAAGAATCCTAGAGGAAGTACATAGATATGTTTGTGGAAACCATACAACCAACCTATACAGAAAGTTGCAAAGATTAGGGCCCTGTTTGGCGTGTCTTTCTCTGTGGTCTTTCGGTTGTTTACAAGCAGGACAGACCGCACTATGATCTTTTTCCGTTTGGTTTGTAACAGACCTAGCCGCCAAAAGTGGGTGCACTAAAAAGACACAGGAAGCCCAATTTAGGCTGATTTCGGGAAGCTCAAAATGGAGCTTTTTGCGTCTCCCTCACTTTATTCTCGTGTGGAAAGACACAAAAAGATGCAAGGAAAGACACGCGGTAGCTAAAGTAGCTTTGGGCTACTTAGATCTTCATGTAAAAGCTCAATGCGTCTGTTGACTATCAGAGCTACCAAAAGATCTTCCCAACAAGACTTGCCAAACGGCCCATAGGTTATTATTGGCTTGAAATAAAAAGACAAGACAATGAGAGATAGAAAGATTATGCAGAATGCTTACTAATGATGGATAGACAATAGTGCCTAAACATAGTATAAGTAGACTAGAGGCAGCCCTACAGGGATTAATTGAGTGAAGGAACCCTTCCCACTGCCAAAGCCGTAGTAGCCTTAGTTAGAAAAGCTAAAACACACTACCTAGTACATGGAGTGTTGTTTAGGAGGAGATGAAATCCAAGAGGCATTAATTTTAGCACATAGCTAAAGAGCCTTCTACCCACTAAGACCAACACACACTATGTGACCACATTATCCAACTAGGACTTTACTAGCCTACCGTTCTACATGACACTATAGTACATGTTCGAACCTGTAGATTGTGTCGGATCCATGCACTGTTGATACATAAACCAACCCAATCCCTTAATCCCATCATCACACTATGGCCCTTTCACACTTGGGGTATGGACCTAATAGAAAAAATTAAACCTCCCTCTCACGGATATTGCTAGATCCTAGTAGCCACTAATTATTTTACAAAATAACTAGAAGCAGTACCACTCCTAAAGGTTAACATAACAAATGTAGCCAAGTTCATATGCAAGAACATTATACACAGATTCGGGATATCTATGAGGACTTTGGCAAATAATGCTCTGTCCTTCAAGAATTCTGAGGTCTCAGATTTATTGGACTACTACGGGGCTAAGTTAGGGCAATCTACCACCTACTATCCTTAGGGAAATGGCTAGGCAGAGGCTACCAACAATACAATCTAGAAAATGTTGAAGAAGGTAATAAATGATTACCAGAAAATTTAGATAGACCAATTGTCAAACACACTCTAGGCCTATAGAACCCCCAAAAGAAAGGCAACAGACACAAATCCATACAACCTGGTCTATGGGCAAGAGGCAGTCCTACCTATAGAAACGTAGTTATTATCTGCACGCATAGCACAACAACTGGGAAAAGAACACTATTTAGAATTTGTGGATGAAGCATTATATACACAACTAGAATGCCTAGATGAAAGAAGAGAGCAAGCCCTAATAGGGGAACCCTTGAGTTCATACACCTTCTTCTTCTTCTAATTGATATTTTAATTTGTCTCTTTGAAGCCCTAATTTCTCCAATTTTTCACCTTTTTAATTTCAGAACCTAGACTAATGTCATTATATCCTTACAATCATATAATAAAATACATGGTACCTACATGACACATATAGATAGGGATGAAATGGGTATGCTTTACCCAGAAACGAAAGGAGTCAACCTAAAACCAAGCTTGAATTGACCTTACCTAATCTTTTATTGGATTGGGCCTGATTTCAAATTCTTAACACCAACCCCCACCCAAGCTGGTTCCAAGGTCTACGGGTTTACCCTACTCGAACTTACCCAAAGAACCAGCCTTGGTTGACCTTGGTAGAACCAGTATTGAAACCCAACTTGCTTTGAAAAAAAAAATACCAAAATACTTTGAGGATGTGAAAATTTGAACCCAAGTACTCATGATTACAATGGGATGGGTTTGGGGAGGGTTTTGTAAACTCTAGATCTTACTTGCCTTCCTAAACCCTCCCAGCCCATACCTGCCCCAAAACCTATAGCGGGTTGGATTTTGAGAATCCAAACTCTCCCTGCACATGAAAATGTAAAACCCTCCCCCATTCAAGGGTAGGGGTGGGTTGGGATTAAAATCACATCTAATTTCCTATTATTTCTTATCATATATAAATAATAAATAAGTAAAATAACACAAATATACAACAAAATTTCCAATTATTTGATTAAGACATATAGGAAACACAAACTATAAATTATCCTTCACATAAAATTCAAAATATTATCAAATTCAACACCTAGTACAAAATGTTTATATGCTTTCCAATAATTTGTGGGTCAAGGAGGGTCGAGTTTAGCCTAATACTGTACCCTACCCGTACTCGTACGGGTTATAGAATCTCAAAACCCGTTCTTCAAGTAAAAAAACAGCCCCGTTGGGAAGGGTAGGAGCGGGTATCCACCGGGTAGGATAGAAATTGCCATCCCTACCTCTAGCGTGTGGGGTTGGAGGGAGGGAGGGAGAGAGAGAGAGAGAGAGGAAAAAAGGTATAAATTTAGAGGAGGTGTAGGAGAGAAAAGAGGACAGAGGACCACTTGACATGGAGTTGAAGAGAGAGAGGCGGGGGTAAGACATAAAAAAAAAGGGGAAAAAGTAAAAAGTAGAAAGTTTAGAACATTAGAAAATTACTGTAGGAGAAAGTAAGTAGACGATCTTGTGGCATGCACGTATCCCTTCGGTGAACAAAAAGAAACTGAAAAGAGCAGAGACAGGTTCTGTACCTACAGATACTGCGTTGGAACAGGTATCACCCTTCCGATCCCTTAAATGGAGTATAATCCTCGAGTCATGGCTTGGATGGAAAGCATAGCAGTCGGAAAGTGCCATTTCAATGCGCCTCCAAACAGCACTTCCAATTAAAGAATTCAAATCAAAAACCACGCCAACATGAAACAAGGATGTGACATTGACGACATTGCTGCCTTTAGCCCAGGCCGTATTTGGATAGAAGCTCAGAGATGAGCATAAGAGAAGAAAGATAAGGTAAGATGGATTCTTCATCTGTAAATGAAGAAGATTAAGATTGATGAGGAAACTCGTCAAGAAAGCTTCTTCATAGGCTGAGTTCGTGAATGTTTGAGAGATCTCTACTGCAAATATTAAGGCTTTAATTACTAAATTTATACAAGAAGGCCGACACAAGAAGACTAAAGTGGTCTTTGTTTTTTTGTTTTGGTATAAAGCCTAAAGTGGTCCCACTTGCATATTAAGGCTTTGTTTTTCTATAGAAATTTCCTGGTGAATGTGAATTATATTTAATAGTCTTTGCCGTAAGATAAAGGTATCCGGGAAAAGTCTGCACCTAATAAATGCCATTTTCTGGAAGTACTTTGATGTGAGGGCAACAAAAAAAAATATCTGTTATCGCTTAGGTTTTTCCGAAGCAAAAACAATGAAACAGAGGTTTGATTTTTTGGTCAAACAGTCCGATCGTTCAAACTGAATGGATGGCTTATTCTGATAAAAATAAAATAAAATTCGTCAAAATTGTTGGACGGTTCAAATGGTTCAATCACCCGGATTAACAGTTTGCTGACCAAATCAATATTTTTAGGTGAAATAATGGTTCTGGGATAAAACAGAACCAGTCACCTAATCGGTTCCTGATTTTTTCTATCCAACCGTCCCGTCCAATCCGGTTTTGAAAACCATAAGTATAAGATGAAAACTATCTTCTTTCCCTCTCAGATCTTTGAGGGGAAAAAAGATAAATTGATTTGGGTACTTAATGTGACGAAATCAGCGTATTATATCAAGGTTAATTCGATCTAAAAGACTTATTGGAAATTTTAAGTGGATTTCCCAAGTTTATTAGAACCTTTATATATCCTAGGAAGCTTAAAGTCTTTATTATTTTTCTCATTCTAAATAATAGACTTCCATGAAAGATATTTTTGGGAATAGAGGAATAAATATTGATGGATCTTGCAATCAATGTGGTGAAGAAGAAGATTCTAACCATATTTTCAAGTTTTAAATTTGTTACAGTCCAATTTAAGGGTCCCGATGAGCGGGACCCATCATTAATGGAGTGGTGGGAAAGAATTTCTACAAATAAGGAGTTTGTGTGTGACAACAGATTGGATAAGACATCTTATATTTTGTGGTTTCTATGGAGGAGAAGAAACCAAAAAGTTTTCAAGGATATTGATATCCCTCCCCTTTCATCCTTGAGCGAGCTAAGAATGGTTACTGGGAAAATTTTAAAATTTTGAACGATGATTCCATGGAAGAGAAGACTACTTCTTGAAGAACAATTGAACGGAAGTCCTATCAGTCATACCTTTAATGACGATTTTGATGCTTCCTGCACTAATAATGGTAATTGTTCTAGAAACCACCTTGGAATGGTTATTGATGTTACAGCTAGGGCAATCACTGAAGATTGGGCTGCTTGGAAAGCCCACAACCTGACTTTAAAACAACTATTTTGAAAAGAGAACTACTTATACACATGATTACACGAAGCTGATCAGGCCGCTGGCTGACTATTAGCTCATAAATCTCATTGGTGTAGTAGTTTAGGTTTGAGACGTGCTACTCCCATTTTGTATAATTCCCTCCTGTTTTATCAAAAATAAGAAAAAAAAAACACTATAGCAATAAAAAAGCACAATTTGAAAGCAAAACACATGACAGTCTCATTTCATTTCATGTCCTTGATCACTATTTTGGAAATAATTTCGTGACATCGTTAATTTGATGCCATATGGCAACTTAAGAGGGATAGGTTCTTCAAAAATATGTTGGTTTGCCACTTGGGTAAGATGAACAGGGCACAAATTAAAGCCTATCCAAACTCAAGCTTAAATTTTGGCCATGATTTGGGCACATCCTAATTTTGATAAACTACATATACTCCAATTCCTTAAATTTTAGTCAAAAAGCAGAATTATCAAGCCAAAAAAAAATAGGTACAGTAATACTTTTTTCTTATAGTACAAAAAGTCAGAAAATACATTTTTAATCTCTTAATCATTACTTTGTTACATGTCAAACAAATACTCGCAAATGTGAACTGAGGTACATAATTAAATACCCCAATTCAGCTTTCATATCACAAACAAACAGAGCCCTAGTAAGGTAGGAGCTCCCAAATCACATCCTAAACCATACCTAATATGTGGGTTAATAAAAATGAATTTTCTTGTATTTCATCTCCTAGTAAGGTAGGAGCCACATTTATAACTACTCATTCCATGTTCTAGAAATTCAAAATATAGACTTTTTTTTTCTAAATATAAATGTGTCATGGGCCCCAGGTTATCCAGAAGTTGACCAAAACTGGTGAATGTGAGAACAAGTGAAACTCGTCAGAAACAACTATGAAAGTGTTATGAATGAAACATATCAGAAGCAATATTTTAAAATGCGGAGATGTGACGTGAGGGGTAATTCAGAACATAAGAGGAGGAGGGATCTTATTTTTTCTTTATTTTTAGTAAAAATCTTTTATATTAAGAAGAATAAAGAAGCACAACACTGATAAGACCCCCCTAAGACTAAAAAAAAAAACACACAAATTGGGCTGCATTGAAAACCCGAGCGGGGGCTCTGCATGGTGAAGTCCCCCCGCTGTATATGCACTATATCACTATATCAAGTGTCAAATGAAAGTTTATATGCATTCATCAAATTATAAGAGACACGTATATATAGACAAGACTGAATCAGTTGTAATAAAAGTACAGGTGGCAAGATACAGCTATATATGCAACAGACTCTGTTTTGGTCTATTCTTCTAACATCATACAATCACAAAGAATGGTGTGAGTAGCATTTTTGTGAGGACGAAATCCAGTCTCCAAATGGAATGGGATCTGCTCCTCACACATGAGCACCTCACAGGCACATCCACCGTGCATTGGAAACATCTTCTATGAATAATAGCTTATAAGTACAAGAGATATTCTCAATGCATAGTAGGATGTGCATGTGAAGTCAGTGTAAAATGCCTGTGTGAGGAGCAGATCCGGTCTCTCTCCAAACATAACGTTCTTTTTGGTATCCTTCATAGGCTCCTCATATCGAGTAAGATTTTTTACTTTTTGGTATTTTTAACAGGAAATTAATTAAGCTTTTGAATTAGTATTTATGTAGCTGAACAAACATTGTCCAGAATATTCCACGACAATTTAAAATCCGTGCTTTTGGGATGATTTCAGCTGCTTTTGATTGAGCTGTATTGAGTGTTGACTGCGCCATGTTCAACAAGTTACAAAAAAAAATATGTAACTTCCTTGAAAAGTTGATTTACTGACAGAATTAAAGCGCATTCACATTCCTGATTTTGCACCAAACATAATTTTAAATGTTTGTGTGTAAGACCCTTCTCACACAACCAGAATCTCCTGCATAAAACAAAAGGGGGGACTTAGAATCAAAACTTTTACCTCTTCTGACTAAGATAATTTTCTTTCTTAATTGGTTTTAGTTTTCAAGTTAACTCAGAGGGAAAACGCTTATAATGGTTGAAAATATAGTTTACAAAACTGGACCGGACCAGATGATCGGACTAGAAAAACTGGGAACTGGTCAGGTGATCAATTCCATTTTACCCCAAAATCGTTATTTCACCAAAAGCCGTTGATTTGGTCAGCAAACCGCTAACCCGACTGATTGAACTGTCTAACGATTTTGGCCATTTTTTATTATTTTTTTATTTTTTAATATTTTTTTGTTACAACGGGCTGTTCATTCGATTCAAACACGCAGACAGTTCAACCAAGAAACCGAACCCCTAACCGATTCGGTTTTAAAAACCTTGATTGAAAATAAAAAATCTGGTTCAACCGACAAAGTGCAAGTTCTAGAGAGGGATAGGCCTTGTTTAGCTATAACATGGGCAGCCATATATTAGCATGGCGAAGGGCATAGAACACCGAGTAAGATGGATGGTGTTGAAGTAAAATCTTGCACTCAGCCATAGAGGCTTGAAGCCGCCATGACTGATCAGTGTGATGATTTGCCAATAGCAGCTTAATAATACACTGAGCATCACCTTCAATTGTGACCCGAAAAATGTAATTCTTCAGTAAATACAAGACCATCAAGAAAAGCTTTGGCTTCAACGTCACTGGTGGAGAACTCCAAGCTGTAATTCTCTTCATATATAATACCGTAGTGTGTCTCCGGATGATGACTACAAGAAGCTAGAACATGCTCAATGGAAGCATTAGCTTTAGTAAATAACACTGAGAGGATTAAGAGGGATATCATCAAAAACAAGTTCATTATATACGTGCACTCTATTATAATTAATTAATTGATGGATGTATATATGCAAGATAATCCCCACTCTTCTTCATGATTTAGTGTATCAATAGTCCACCAAGTTAAAAATAGCTCTCCTAGACCATCGAATTAAAGACCCTCAAATTAAAAATTTGTTGGTCCTGAAAACACAATAAATATTAACAAAATACCTGGAAGCAAACTGAAATCAGTTTTGAGCGTCACCTACGAGTGCACTGTATAAAAACTACATGGCACTAACCCAAAATTCTTCCACTATCAACAAAATAACAAGGTTACAACTTCTCTAGCTAGTTCCAACTAAAGTTCAAAGTATTGACACGGGCTAGTATCGGTACTTTTTTTTAAATTTTTTTTTTTTTTTGAAATCGGTTAAGAGGGGTCGGTTTAAAGCCCGGCTACCCTCTGAACCATGGCCTGATCCAATACAAACCCTGAAGGGGCGTATCAAGAAGCCAATGGCACAATACGTATCAGCTGATACGGACCAATACGCATCGATACTTTGAACCATGATTCCAACTAGAGGATAACTACTTAAAGAAACAAGAACCTGTCTTGGATAAACAAAAAGAGTCATCAACCAAGAAGTATTTCAATCAACAAACAAGAGAAAGATCTCACTAAATAAGGTGTTGTTAGCACCCAATTTTGACTTGCTCTGACGCCTAAACCCCCAATTTACCCCAAACATCCGATTAGACCTTTTTTATTCCCCTTAAACACTAAAAACCCTAAAAACACAAATCTTAACACAAAAGACCCTAAATCCACCATTAAATCTACTAGATACCAATCCGATGGCCCCAATAATCCCCCATCTAC